ACTCAGAACCTAGGCCACTCGGACAAGGCAGGACAAAGGATCACGCCGATCAGAGCCAAACACTTTCCCAGGAGCCCTGCCAGAGCTGCGCGGCCAAGGAGCACGGAGGCTCCATGTGTTCAGGAAATGCCTGTGTAGTCCCAGGAGGAGAGCGGAGGAGAGGGACTGAGTGCTGTCCTCCCTGAGGGTGATTTCTCACTCTCCCTCTTCTTGCCTTTTCTGTCTCTCAAACGAGCGCACGTGCCCCATAGCAAAACAAAAAACCAAAAACTTGATAGTTACTTGGACAGAAACCTAGACTCAGCAAGACTGACACTTGTCCAAGGCACCATGTCGTTACTGATGAAAAACCAAGGCTACATCTCCCATTTCAATTGCTCTCCGTGGACAGCTGCCTTTACTAGTGCGTGTAAGAAGTCACTGAGGACGTCCCCACCTGCCCCTGTCCAGACCTCCTGCTCGCAGCGCTCCCTGTAACCGTGACCAGGACACCTGTCCTCCGCGTTTTAACGCCGGTTCTCCAGCCGGAATAGCTCGTCCACCCTTCCCAAGAGTCTGCAGACAGCCACGGCCTGTCTACTGACTCTGAGAAGCATATTCACAGCGGCGCCCACAAACGCCTCTCCTCCACCTCTGCTGCACTCAGCCTTCAGAGAGAAGGGAGTGGCCCGGCAGAGTGGGCCTCAGTGGCCGTGAAGCCCAACCACACGGCATTTCCATTTGGGCAGGTCAAAACGGCCGAGTGTGGGCAACGTCACGCGGTTCGACCTAACGTTCATAAGTTGTCGGTATTTCCTTAAGAAAAGTGCTCTCCATTTTTATAAATCATCCCGGATATGCCATGAGCCTGGATTTCAGATGGAAAATTAAAGTGTGGATGACAGAAAGTATAAATGATGGGGGGAATGTAAGTATATATGTATGTGTGTATAGATAGATGGATACATAGATGATAGAGATGATGATGATAGATATAGATACACAGATGATAGATGATGATGATGATGATGATAGATATAGATACACAGATGATAGAGATGGTGATGATGATAGATAGATAGATATAGATACATAGATGATGATGATGATAGATGATAGATATAGATACACAGATGATAGATGATGATGATAGATAGATATAGATACATAGATGGTAGAGATGGTGATGATGATGATGATAGATATAGATACACAGATGATAGAGATGGTGGTGATGATAGATAGATAGATATAGATACATAGATGATGATGATGATAGATGATAGATATAGATACACAGATGATAGATGATGATGATGATGATTATAGATACACAGATGATAGAGATGGTGATAGATGATGGTAGATAGATAGATATAGATACAGATAGATGATAGAGATGATGATGATGATAGATATAGATACACAGATGATAGATGATGATGATGATGAT